ATCGTCGATCGGCAACGCCACGTTAAGTCTCTTCGACGATCTCACGGTCGCAAGGTCACGCTCTAAACATTCCAATGTACTTGCTTGCAATTTCTCTCCTTTTTTTTATTTATTTAATTTTCCTTAGGATGATCCTCTTCCGGACGCCGGGCGCCGCCGCAGTTCTTTCGCCCACCGCGACGTACGGCCGACATCGTTGTCCATTTTTCTGCGCGCGGCGTTTCGATGATTTCTCATTGCGCTTTACGTTAACATGCTCTCTTGTACTTTATCCTATTCCCTCTCCCCCCCCCCCCGGAGAACCTGTCACTCTCCGTTGCGATTAATCGTGATCCTTATTGCGAGAGTTATTCAGGAATGCGCGAGGATCCATCATTGTCGTATCGACAAAGAACGGCGAGAATCGCGATTTCTTAGATAAGCTAGCCAGCTCGAAACGCGGCGACGTCATATGGACAAGATCTCTTTTGAATGCACGTGCGGATGCGTATCGACGTTCCGCGAGCGTGAATAAAGGGGACTTGAGTTTTTTTATCGGTTCGGAAAAGGAAAAAAAATAGCATCGATCAATGAGCCGGCGGGAGAATGCTCGCTATTCATCGCTATTCATCGCGAGTTAAGCGCTCGCGCACGGATACGCATCTTGATGAGTTCGTGTATGACGAGTCGTGAAAGTGCGGGCAGACCGATGTACTTCCCCCGAATGAATGAATCACATTTAGCACAATATAACGAGCAATTTCTATTCATAGAGATATAACGACACAATCATTTCATTTTTCTCAAAGTTTTTGAAATCCATCGGAAGTACAATACGAAACGTAATGTGTGCACATTTAAAATGAGATGTGGCAAAAAAAATGAGGCAAAAAAAGTAAACGGGTGAGGGAAAATTACAAAAAGGTCATTATCGGAAGTCTATTTCGAGACATCTTAATCGGACGTTTTATCGAAGTACTCAAGTAAACCACGTAGGCGAGGGAAGCATCGATCGATCTACCGGCACTCCCATCGGCGAAATACGAATGGTGTTATGGTAGAGAGGATAAGACAGTAAGATTACGCGAGGAGAACGACGTCGTATTATAGCATCTCGCATCAGGTCGGTGCCAAACAGTCGCAAAGTCCTCCCTTGGGCCTGGGATCGGCTCGCCTTGACGCGACTTGACGACTTTCGGACCGTCCCGCTGCTCGTGCATCGATAACGACGATTGGCGATGATAGCGGTAAGTCGTGATGGGCAAGAACGTGTCTGAGGCGTACAAGAACGAGAAGAGAGAGTATATATATAACTGGGCGTTAACATTCAGTGAATCAACAGCCGAGATGATGGCAGAACAAATATATATATATATATAAAAGTAGTGTGGGTGTATGTGGATGAATGTAACATCTGTAACACGGACGTTTATGTACACGTACATACGCATGTAATGCGCTCGTGTGCACGTATGTACGTGTGCATACAACGAGCCGATAAATATATACATATAAAGAGTTTTCGAACATTCCATATGTATGTATAAGATATACATACGGAGGGAAATCTGGGAATGTGTACGTGTATCATATGTACTTCGTACTGTATAAATATATATAGAGAGAGAAAGAATATATATGTGTGTCTATATATATATATAAAATATCGAGGAAAAAGAAGTAAGTGTAATATATAGATATATGAAAATTGTTCTCTTACGGGACGAGCCAAAAGTCTCGCGCAGCCTGACGTCGATTCTTTCGTGGCATGTCCCGTCCATCCTCCTGATCGTCAAAACTTGGCCAAATGTCGTTTGGAATACGAATGCCGTTGATAACCACTTTTTTCTTTCTTTTTCCCTCTCTCGTGTGTATACGCGAGAGGTGTCAATCTTTCATGTCTTTTTATCTTTGAGATACTTTGCGTTTCCAGATTAGTCGCGCGGTGCCACAAGAGGCAAATTTCAACGCCGTGATGTGTTTTCTTTCCGAAACTTCTGCTATCTATGAGTAACTATCAACGGTAAAATTCTGTAGTAGAATTATAAGAGTAATCACTCATCGATAAATAAAAATTTTATTTGTTGAGTTTCTCTCGATAGCAAAAATCTCTCGAGCGTAGAAAAGATCAGGATTTAATCGGTTACATCAATAAATTGTTGGTAGATTGTTGATAACGCGAAAGAGAATATTTTGTTGATAAAGAAAATATACTCTAAATTAAATTTATTGATACTTGTTAAATTATTTCTTATAAATTAAATTATTTAAGAAATTGTATTTATATTAAAAAAAGAATTCAATTATATTATTAAAATTAAAATTCTTTACATAATTCATTAATCATTTTTAAATAATCTTTTAAATAATCGAATAGATAAATTATTATTTACAAACAATTATATATTGTATGATTAAAAAAATTATATCAATATTTTGGATATTTAGAATTATAGAAAATTTGTAATATTTAATAGCAAGTGTGATTAAAAAATATATAATTAATAAACGTGAAATAATTACAGTAATACTCGAACAGTTTAACTACACTTTTATAAAAAAAGATCAATTAATTGATTAACTTTTAATTAGCTAACTCTTTTAAAGACTTATTATTTACATACATGTATACAAATTGATAATCCTTAGAAACATTATAATCTATAAATACTACTACTTAAATCAATTTAATAATATAAAATTTTCCTATATATTTTAACATCATAAAAATGATATAAGCTCTCAAACTTTACTCAAATTTCACATTTATATTATCTTTTTATAAAGAAATGAGAAATACATTTTTATATCTGAAACTCTTATTTCATTTTATATTTTCACCTTGTTCTCTTTTCCTTCCATTTTACAATTCGCAAACAATTTATAATCTCATAAATATTATTGCAATAAATATTAATATCATTAGCCGCGTGTCAAATTAAATATGTGACCGATTAGATCCCATCTTTCTTTTATTTCAACATCGCAGCGTTCGCGTGCAACGTTTAACGTATTAGCGATGACTTACGTGAATTTAGCGTGTGCCACTGGTCGAGAGCCACTGTACAATGCGCACACTTATACCCAGGCACACACAGGCAAAAACGTAATATACGACGATGAATGAAATATCGGAGAGAATTTTAGGCAGCGACACGACGAAGACGGCGAACGTGCAATTAATCTCAATGTACGCAAGAAGGGAGAGGCTTAGACGGATTATATTCGCGCACGGCATCTAATCCGGCTCCTAATTCAGCATGCGTGAGGGTGCGTAATTCACGATGGACGAATAGCGGCAATATTACGGTCGACGTGACTTCATTTTGAAGGACTGACTTCGGAATGACTTCGATATCACGACATAAATTACCTCTATCTCTTAAGTGAATACGATTCTCCATGAAATTAAAAGTATAAATAATAAATGCAGTTAAATCTAGTCTTTACATTGAAGAAATTCGCATTTCAAGAAACATCTTTATCATTTTGTCTATTCCATCTTAATATTTTCTAACTCTCAATTTTAAAAATTATTTAACGTATGATTTTATTTGGCTATTAATTATAAATTATCAGAAGAAAATTTTAATTATATAAAATATTAGTTTTAAAGTGTAATTTATAATAAAAATATAATTTCCATAATATTTATTATCCAGATCTTTTCTACGAAATATTTAAAATTTAAAATAATAATTAATTTTAACTTTCACGAGTGACGAACTTTGCGAGGGTCTTTTTATATACGGTGGCTCTCCTAAAGGCAAACTCAAGACTTTAGTATACTTTACTAATATATATGTACACGTGTGATATATATCGTGCGAGACAGTGATCGATTGTTCGAGCAGTCTGAGAAAAATTATATCTATAAGATATTATATTACTAGTCATAAAAGAATAAACTTTTCGCCGAAGAGAAAGGAAATTCGCATCGACGCGACTGACATTTTAAATAATTAACTTCGTCTGTTCGCTCTTGCACTTAAACCGGGTCCAATTAGTATTAACGTGTGTTAATTAGTGTACCTGTTGGGTCCTCCATGGTAGGGCCTCGTGGGGTAGGAAGTCACGTGCGTATCGCCAGTTCCTAATTTCGAGCTACGTAGTGATGTTGTAGTTGTAGTTGTAGTAGTTGTTGTGGTTGTTGTGTTGTAGTTGATGGTGATGACTCGTAGTGACCGTGACGATGACGGTGATGGCTGATCATGTGGTGACGGTAGTAATTGTACTTGTGGTCAGTGACGGATAGTGAATGACGTGAGATAGGCGGATATGCGGGCGTGATATTTCCCCCGCGCAAACGGGGTAGGGGTGGCTAACGTATCTTATCGCCTACACATCCAAAGCAGCTCATTCCACGCATTCCAATCGCAGCTGTTATTGTTACTTCCGATTTCCCTCCGATTTCATTTTCCCCGCGCTGCTCGTCATTTCATTCCCTACGGGATCGGTCTGCTTTCTCGCCGATGTCTTTATGTTCGATCGTGTTCGACAATAACGGTAGCGGCGGACGATTCGTCCCATGACTCGCTGATTCGGTGACGTATCGTATAATTGAATGATTCATCTAACGTCCGATCTATCGTATTAGGCTAATGGGACAAATTTAGCTTCGTTACGCACCGTAAATAAATTCTTGTTTTTTTACAGGATATATATATATATATATATATATATATATATATATATATATATGATGATTTGTGACATTGCTGATTATTAGATAAATTACCTCATTTTGCCGAAGTCATTGAATGAGAGAGATCGTGGACGAATCGTTCTTAAATTATTTGACATGTAGGGTGCAAAGTGAAAGACAAAGGAAAACATATGGCTTTACACAAGGTTGGTCACTTGGATAAATATGGAGATCACGATCACTTTTTAGACATAATCGTATTGTTTATAAAGTCACGTACTTTAATATTAAGAAGTAATTACTTGCTTTATTTCGAATTTTTAGTTACCTGCTTTACAGTAAAAAAATGTATATAATAGCGAAATAACAATTAAAAAATTAATTATTAAATATTCATCAAATAAAATTATACTCATATTTCTCATGTTAATTAGATGTGTATTAAAAATATAAAGTGCAATATTTATATAAAAAAATAAGTATACAGTTTACAGATGGGAGAAATTAATTTTGTTAATACGATCAGTAGCTTCACATAAATAATAATTTAATGTGCATGAGAGTCTCATAGATATTTTATTAATTTCCTTCTATTTCCGTTTCAAAAAACTAATTTCCTTTTGTTTCTCGAACGATACCCAAAGTACATTTACTTCGAAGAACCTCGTCTGAATTACGGCAATTAATTACGTGCAACGAGATTGAAGCTATTAATTGCAGCGCGCGCCCGCGCGCTTGTCGCGCCGAGATCGGCTTATGCCCGGAGAAATTTGTCGTGAAAAGAGAGGAAATTGGACCGAGTAGTTTCCCCTCGGCGTCGAATGTGTCTCGCTTCTTCGAGCTAATCGGAAAATGTCTTCCACACGCTCATAGTGTCTGTTAATTCGTCACCGGGAATTTGAAGTATTCTTAATCGAGAATCTCGAGGTAACAGCTATATTTCGCTCGCGCATATTTTATCCAAAAGCAGGCAATTAAGAAACTGATGCCAGTAAGTAAAATTGTTATAATTTCGACGGGTTCGATCATCGATACTAGAAACACTGGTCTCGGTAATAAAACGGAACAATTGTACGCGGTTTCCATGATCGCGAAACAAATCGCGGGTTTCCAGCATCGACTTCCGAATTCCATCGAGATTGACAATTTTAATCCCAGCGTAGAACATGATGGATTTGTCGAAGGATTCCGAGGGATCGGTTGAAACAAAGTAGACTAGGAGTTAGTGATAACATGATACAATGCTCGTGCTGCTAACTTGTCGATACAATGAACAATGAGACAGGCCTTGGTGCTGGTGCAGCTGATTGCTCAAAAGTAGTTTTCAGAGGAAGAGGAGAAACGGCGAATAAGAGGATTAACATTGTGCGATATTTTTTCTCAGTGGCAGAATGAGAGAAAGAAAGAACAAGGAGGGAGCGAAAGATTTCTCGTGCTTCTGATAGGCAATGTTGACGTGCTTGCTCCGTCCGGTTCGTGCTGAAAATTGCACTCGGACATGTGCCATGGATCTGTCTAGTTTTTTTTTTCGTTCGAATCGCTCTCGGCTTCGAGTGCCACTCAAGCTACATAAACTCCGTCTAAGTCCTAAGTCTAACAGGCATAAACATGAGAGTGCATGGAGATCGAGCGAGATAACGAATGCGACGTTGTTCGTGAAAAACATCGATTGTAATAATTAACCATAAATTGGAATAATGACACTAAATAATGTCTTTATCATTCCTTAGCTTCGTATTTATTTCATTTAAATAAAACGCTTATTTGCTTTACTAATTTTCACTCGGAATAATTTCACCAAAGTGACTTTCATGATTTATAAAATCAAAATCGCGAAACGTTTTTACATATGAAAATTTGATCGTTCAATCGAATAGAGTAAAGGATAATTTTTGCCTGATAATTTTCTCTGAATACAAATTTCTCTCGAGTAATATTTCAAATGATTTTGCAGAAACGCAAAGCTGCGGAGGAATACAGGGAATATGAAATCTCGTAGAATACGCGAATGAAAAGCAGCGCGTGTGAGAAAGCCATGACTGAACGCGTGTCGCGAAAATGGGTCAAAAAGCGCGAAAGAAACGAACCCGTCGGCTGCAACGGCGGGCGAGGTAACAGTGGCTTTTCCGAACGACTTCGCATTCCGCGTGTCGAGAAATGAAGGGAAGATATATAAACGAAGGGAGGGCGCTATAAACGCGAGAACGTATCGTGAACGAGGGTACACGGACTACTCTGCTCTAAAGATCATCTAACACGAATTGCGTAAAGGCAAGAGCGGACATAGTGGTGGAGATGTGATCACGTTGATGGCAGTGCTCAGGTGCTCAGAAACTCTCTTATGAGACTAACAGTCTAAATATGCTTATTTCGCTATGTGACAATACAGCGGAACAGCGACAATTGCCGAGTGATAGTAAGCTAAGAGGGGGATCGGCTTCAAAAATTCACGGATTTCTGTACCATTTCTGGACGTCGTATTTATTAAACGCGAGAATCTCTCTCCGTGAACTTGATTGAAGAACTGGCAAATATATGCGTATGCAATTTGTAAGTAAAACAAATAGTACTTGCTTGAAATGCCAAACGCGACACGTAATAATATTTGGCATGCGTTAATGATTTTTTGATAAATACGTATAGTCGAGGATAATAATACAAATATTTGTATAATTTTATTATAAGGATAATAATACAAATATTTGTATAATTTTATTTATACAAATATTTGTATAATTTCGGAAATTTTTATAATTTTCGCTCAACCAATATTTTTTTTTTCATGGATTGCAATAAAGCTGTCATTTATGATATTATCTGGCAACAGAGATTTTTAGCTCTGTCATTATGCGTTTTACATCCGTTTTGTTATCTGTCATATAAGTTTATGATAGAATATTATGATGTAGAAACGCATGTCGTCATGAAGAGAATATGAAAAGTTCCATAAAAATAAGCTAGACGATAAAGCAATACTCGCAATAAGGTGATGCCTTGACAAGTCTCGAGGAACTCTTTCTGACTCTTTCTTGATACTTTTTTCTGCAATTCTTGTTTGCAATAAAAGTACGTAGAAACGGCGTATCGCGTTTGTAAACGTGAATTTTTGAAAACTCTTGCGACAGTGACGCAAAGGAAAGTGAGAGAGTAAACCCACGATTTTGCGTGCACGCTGAACGCGAGAATATGAATGTGAGAATATGTGTGTGTTGCTGGAAAATGTGTGCGTGTGTATCTGTATAAGTGTATATGTACATATGTAAAATCACTGAGTGGCGGCGTGAATCCCCGTCGATTTTCCATCTCTGATTCAATTTTCTTTCTCTGAGGAGAGAAACGCCGTCAAACCGAAATAAACATCGCGAACTAGTACGAAATACATCGAAATACTTTGCGAATAGCGATAATTATACAAGATAATTATACAAGAAAAATATATCTTAAATGAATACTCCGAAATTAAGTTTTAATCGCGCATTTTCCTACACGTCTTGCGCGAACTTTCATTAGTATAAATAATTACAGAAAAAAAAGTTGCGAAAAGAAACGAATCATAATTAAATGAAATTCAAATGAAATTCAAATGAATACAAATAATATTCCAATTTCAATTGTATCAAAGTAAATAATTTTTTTAAAAATACAAAACGCAATTATTGGATATATATTGTCTCATCACAAAGGAAAAAATTCCTAGATTTTGAGATCTTTAAGGATTTTTGAAATCATTGAATTCTTGGATGGCTAATTTTCATTCTTTAATTTAATTTTAAATATTTTTATATATTTAAAATTTTTTTAAAACTTATTATATAAAGCACTTCTTTAATTTCGTTTAAATTTGTGTAATTGTTGCGTTTTCCCATTTCGCAAATTTTGGATCTCGGTTAGTTGCACACATCCAAGATTCTCATATTTTTCGTCAGATTTCTCGAATCACATGGACCCTCCTCGTTATCGAATTTTTCAAACCGCTGATTTTCCGCTCCTCTTGACCAAAGCGTCGCGTTAGTAACTTCGACCGGTTGTTGCCTATCGCCGTCCCCCGATCTCGCATGTGCATACCGTACCTTAATCTCACCTCTATTGCGGAACACAGAACGAAGAACCCTTCCGTCGCTCGCGAGAACTCGATCGATTTCGGGGGCAACGATCGAGTCGAGTCGCACGAGGTAGGCGGGGAGAGCTCGCAAAACCCTGTTGTGGTCCCTGAATCGAGAGTGGGCTGCCCGTGTAAGGGCTAATTCCACTCACCCCCTGGCGCTCGCCTGTTTCGTTTTCTCTTTTGTCTGTTTTGTTTGTCCTCTCTCTTTTTTCTTTTTCTTTTTTTTTTTTTTTTTTTTTTTTTTTCTTTAACAAATCTCGAGGTGACACAGTAGTTACAAGCGTGAGCACGACACGACGGGAACGAAAAGTAAACGCCACGTGGGCGGTGACAATAACTGACAAGCTTACTTGACAAGACAACTACTCGTAACAAAACAGTGGGCAGCGTAATTAAGTGTTAGCGCATATGTTATATATATGTATATACATATATGTACGCGATGCATAATGTATGTATACATATATATACATATATATATATATATATATATATATAATATAAAAATTTTTATAATTTATGAATATGTATGACGACGGATAGAAATAGCTTAAGGACCTGCTTCTGGGCCATCGATTGCATCTGCTGGAACATGATCCTTTCCTCCTCTTTTCCTAGAACAGCAGAAAGTAACGAGGAACTCTTGGAGGAACTGTTTGGTTCCAGGTTCTCGGATTGTCGGTGTAACTGTTGGTGTGCGTGTGTTTGTATGTACGAATAAGTGATCCTAGCAAAATGATCGCGATAATAATTCACTCAAGCGTAACTTTTGTTAATTTCCTTTTAACTTTACGTTATTATTGTTATAATTATATCTGTATTATAAATAATAGTACACATTTGTCATTTCCGTTACAATTAATAAATAAAATAATGTTATGTAATTCAAAAACTTTTTCCCCCCATCCCTTATATTAACTGCTCTCATTCAAATTTATAAATAAATAAATTAAACTGCAAATTGTTGATGTGCCAATGCAGCGATGTGTATGCCAAATGCATTTAAATGCAGCAATTATTTATTCTAATATGTGGCGCGAATTGTTTAACGCCCAACTTTTGAAAGCGTTTCTTGCTTTCGTACAATTATTTTGCAAGATAAATATTCTATGTAGCGTCTCTTCTGACTATGCACCATTAAATTCATAAAACGAGAGTCTCGCTTTTGTACATATCATAACAACGGTTTCAAAGCGCAGGTTCGTCTTCTTAGACGAATGGCACTCCGCTAACTAAACGAGATAACTCGATAAACCGTTGTAGACGTCAAGAACGACTGACGGGATTTGCGCGAAAAATTTCGTTGCAGAGGAAATTGAGTCTTCCTTTCGTTAAAGAAGAACGATACCGGGCGTCGTATAAATTTACGAATAAAGTATTCGCAAATTTACATTATGATAATTCACTATGTATATTTACTGCAAAAATCGCTTATAAATGTATTAGTTACATATAGAACTTATATTTTTTTTAATCCAATCTGTTTTTAGAGTTATTATGCAAGTGTGTTTTACTTTGTATCTTTATATTTTCTAAAATAATCTTCACATGTTTCACCAATACTCATGTTAATTTTTTTAAAAACTGCTAATTGGGTCATTATCAACTTATTTTCGAGCTAGTATAATATATCTAATATAATATAAGTAAAGTCAAATAATTATTATTATTATAAGATTGCATTATAACATATTGAAAGTCTTTTTATTTTTTTATCTGATTTACCTAATTTCGTCAATTTCTTATAAATCTCTTAATTTATCTTACAGTTGTTTATAAAATTTCGTCTATAAAATCCAACGTTAAATAATTAATTAACGTTAAAATAATTAATTTAAAAAAATTGCAAGCAATGCCTCACCCATCCCCTTGTTCTGAAGCATCTCGAGGAGCTTCTTGATACTCTCATCGCGAGCCTGCAGCGTCTGTTTTTGCGTTTCTATTCTTAATTCCAGCTCCTGCAAGAGAAAAATCAATGAAATTAATTAAAAGTAAAAAATTATTTAATTAATATTTAATTAAAACTGTCCTCTTTTCTTATTTTGTCGCCAAATTATCATTGCAATTAAATGCTTACATGAATAATATTTTTATGTTGTATATTTTTTATTTTTAAAAAAGTATATGTTTTAGAAAGAAAATAATCATTTTATTACATTTATTAATATAATTTCAATAAAATTACATGCTACGATGTTTTTTTAAGTCGTTTTTATTATTTTAAATTTGCAAAATAAATTTGATTAATATATGTTAAGAGTGGAAAGTTCATATGAAACTAATTAACCAATTATGGAATGTCAAAATTAGAACTTCGTTAGAGATAATGGCCAACTAACCGCGTTCAAAATGCTGCAAACTATATTAAGCCTACAAAATTATTTCAGCATGCGGACGATGTCGTCGAGTTGGTAAGGCCTGAGATCTATTCAACACACGCTACCAATATATTACAAATAGTGACATAATTCTATCAATTTTTTATTTTCTTATGAAATATTCCAAATTTAAAAATATAATCTGAAAATAGTATTATTGAAATATTTTAAAACTAATTTCTCCCCAAAAAGTTATCTTCGACAGTTTTATTCTTAGCTTTTGGAAGATTGCAAAAATATAAATTACTTTTTTTCAGACACATACATCAAGCGTAAATTTTGATATCAAATAAAAAAAAGATTTATCATCGTTCTGATATATTGTCCTCGCTCTAAAAGAAGATTGACATTTCAGATAGGAAAATAACTACGAAATATAAATAGTCGTGAATATTTTTGCGGAATTCCATTGTATGAACTTTACGCAGCGATAGTTTTGAAAACTGATGGTGTCACAGTAATCACCTAATACGCTTGATTCTGGTGGCCATCAACGATAGATAGTGTTACCGCTTGGGGCCCGCATAACAAATTTAGCACGCCTCTTTAACGGCGGGAAAGTAATTAGACTGGAATTAGACACCCGCTGCCGATCTTCTGCCGGTTTTCCCGCTGTGCGAGGGAAACGTTCGCGTGCGATATTACCTGCGAATAGATAGTAACGCGTGCTCTCGAAATGCGAGGATTCCCGAATGTTACGGACAAAACGTCGACCGATAATTAATTCAATTAAACTACTCTAATGAAAATCTTAATGAGCTTCCGCAATCGTAAATCATACGGTTAGAATGTACTTCAGAAAACACGTATACTATCGGGACCGTTTGATCTAGGAACAGCACTTGCGATATCATTAACAAAGGGCCGCTAATTATAACCAGTCATGCAGAACGAAACTTTGGAAACTACAGCCAAATATTGATATTAAATATTTAACTATAAATTAAATACTTTAACTACAAATTTAAACAAAAAGTACAAAAATGTTTTTTACGTACGCTGCAAATTATTAGTTTCGTATCAAATTTTAAACATTATTAAATTATTAATATATTAATAAATTAAATTACGAATAAAAAAGTTAGTTAATGCACAGGTTGAAGAAGACATTATATTGAATGGAAATTATGCGACGATGAAATGAAAACGTTGCGATGCGTTCCATTTTCTTAAACATTCCGACATTTGTGGAAATTTCAATCGATTTGGTTGTCAGATTCGATAATGAAAATTTACGGAGAGACGAGAAACCGAGTGCATAAACTGGCGTATGGCCAAAGGCGACCAGTTGCTTCCCGTACGTTGTACATTTGACCTGTCTGCGACATTTCGGTCATGCTTACGAACAAACATCACTCCGCTTCTTGCACAAGATTAGATTATTTTCCGAAGAAATATCTCCGAGTTCATCTTTCTTTTAAGTTTCCGCATCCACATGTGAATTACATCTATTTCTTATTTAAAAAAAAAAAAATGAGTAAAAAAGTAAAGTAGAAAAAAATATAAAATAGAAGTATCTTTTGCATATAGAAAGATTTCTAGAAAATATTTGAATCTCTTATCACTCTCTTTTCTTAATGAACGAATGGCGCTTACATGTCTGCGTCTATCGACTCGATTACACGCGGCGATGCTTGTTTTTGACGCCGTAGGTGGTGAACTTAATGAATTTATTGAAACGAGGTTGATATTCGTGTCGCTGCCAAGATTTCCGGAAGCATTTTGGATCGTACTGACAATCGGTCGTTTACCTCGAACACGGCCTAAACCGCTAGTCTATTTCGGTTCTGCGACACAGCCGCTTGGCGTACGAAGAGTCAATAAACGGTCAAAGACGGATATATACCGATGAACAAATTATTTCGAGAACATGATTATTTTATTAACGTTCATTAGGCACGCAAATAGATTTTAAATAAATCAACGATGTCCTGTTTAAATTCGAAAAATTTCTACTGTCAAATTAATAACGTATTAAATACAGGATAGCGGAATTGGATTTTAATTACCGAATGGATAAAAAAAATTAAAGTTAACAATTAATCGCTATAACAAATTGCTATTATAGTTTAGTTGTACTTTAAAACTGATATTATCATATATTCAAATATATTAAAATTTACAAAATTACAAATTTACAAAAAATATACAAAAATTTATAAGACTGATAGAATCATTATTTAAATTAATAAATAAATATAAATTTAAATAAAATAAATATTATCATTAAAATCTTTGGAATATTCGTAAGGAAGAAATCGGACAAGTCCAACACGTTTCTCTTGAATACGTTCGAAATGTTAGAGTACCTGACAGACGTCCGCAGCGGTGTCAGAAGATTGGAAGATAGCGCGAGGTCCAATATATCTGGCAGTCGCGCGAAAATTTTCACAAATATCAGGGAAACTCTCGAGGCTGTCGGCGAGAAAAGAGAGAACAAGAAAAAGAAGAGGAAGACAGCCCGGGAGGCGTCTGTGGTGCTTTCACGCATCGACCCCCTGGAGAATTTCCTCCTTTTTACTTCCATTTACCGCATTTATCCCTATTATTCTCGAGTTATAATGGGATCCTCCTTCGAGGACGTGATTATTCAGCGGCGTTCCAATCTTCCCGATGGCGTGAACCATTCTATTTCGCGACCGAGGCTGAATTATATTTGACGTAAGACACAGAAAAAGCGACCTAGTCGCGCCGATTAACATTAATCTCGTAAACGCTTGGCCGGAAATTAATTTTCCCTCGGAAAAATTTAATTACGTAGAAAACACCGGATTATAACTCCGTAATTTTACGAGGATAATCTTGTGCCAGGGTACAAAAATAAAATGTTGAAAATGATTAACGCACAGAAAAATAATGCATATAACATCTAAACGTTAATGTTCACCTTTATCGTGTCACGAAGTATGGCAATTTCGCGAGTCAGATGCTCGTTCTCATTGTACAAAACTTCCATTTGTTGCTGCATCTCGACGCTCGGCCCGCGCATCCTCATTCTGAGCTCCTCTTCCAGTTGGCGAACCATCATGCTTTGTTTCTACAATTCAAAAACAGTATAGAGTTATAATTATGAAGAAAATACTAGTCAAGATATATTTAGAGTTTTACTGGCTAGGAACTGTCTAGCATTTACTAATTAGTTTAACCTGACTATTCCCTGACTAATTGCTGACCAGTTCTACCTAACTAAAATTTTCTGACCAGTCATTGGATAATTATTGTTCGGTAAATCGAAAATAGTAAAGACTAGTCAGTTTCTAGCCAGTAATCAGTTTTCCCAGATATTTTTTTACTTGAATTGATTTAAAGAATATAACAACCTTCATTAATAAAATATTTAAAAAAGATTTAAGTAACCTGAAATACTTCATCACGTACGCTCATGTAAAATTATATTATTTTATATATAAAACATAATTTCAGATTCATAGATCATTTTACATTCCACCAAGATTACTAAAATAATGGAATAATAATAATCACTGTCGAAATAACCATAATTATTATGAAGTTAAAGGAATAATATTACGTGTTAAGATTATTATCTTCAACTTGAAAGTCAATCTAGTTCGCTAAAGACGGTATAAATTTGTCTAAATTTTCTAATTTTAGAAACAGCGGTGTAGAGCGATGAAATACGTTTCGTAACAAACTTGACGATTACAAATTGTACTCAAAATATTAACAAGAAACTCCGCGGTCGCGAAAGTTCACTTGTGCACGCGTCGTTACGCCGACAGTCACGTTACACGGCCGGAAACGCGCCGGTTACTTGTCTCCGTCGTACATACTATTTACTCTCATATGGATGTACTTTCGAGTGGTATTGTTCCACTCGAGCTCTTTGGTCTGGGCTCGTTAGACATCGTTAATGACGCCGGCGACGCGACATAAGCGCCTAGGTGAACAAAAGTCGCGTCGCCGGGAGAAGAAGAAAAGATTTCCCAACCGCATTTCCGGTGCAGTGCGATTAATAAATGTGAACGCTACATACCGATGAGCTGTCTCGTTGATTAAAGCGTTTTACATATGCGACACACTCTTCATGTTTGTTGATTAAAGTTCTTTTAATTTTAAACCAGATTCGGAGACACTCTGTTTCAGAAACTAATATATTTTCCATTGTATATATTTTGTAAACAAGGGAGATAGAAACGAGCGCCAGAATTGTAAAACACTCAGTTCTGATACGCGAAAAACAAATGACAAAAGATAAATAATTTTAGTAAAATGGAAAATGTTTAATCTACAAATAACGTTATATCAAAATTAAAAAATATTAATACAGTTTTTTAAATTTAAAGTTGATTATTTTCTATGTAGGAATGTATAAGCTATGGGAAATGTAATGGGATGAAGATTGCGACACATTACATAATTTTTATCGTAATACAATAAATTAAAATAACGAGACCCACATAAAGAAAACATGTTCAGTTGGAAAAACAACTTTTTAGCAAAAGAAGACAGTTTTATGGCAAAAGATATCTATGTATCAAGATTTCATCGAAATATTCGGTTGTATGGAAGAATTATGCAATGAGTATCTGCCAACGTGTAACAAGAGGAGCGCTAAGCGAATATTCTCCAATTCCTATGGAAACCAATGCGTTCAATATTACCGATTGACCTGATTTGGCGTGCGTGGAATCAGTGCAATGCGACGTCATGGTGGATGAGAATGTGGAGGTAGAGCATCGCATTCTACCATGCGTGACGTCATTTCTTCCCTCAATCATCTCTGACCTATTTGTATCGAATTTCATTTTTACAGAAATATTGATACGAATATGTCGAGTTTTATGATTAACCATTATACACTTAATAGTTGTCCATTATACGTTCTATAGTTATCCCGATATTTATTGTATAACTATATATTTTACTAATCTAATTTTATTTTTTTACTGAATATTTTATTTCATCTATTTACTCCATATGTTTGCTTTTCGATGTTAAAAATCGATAACTATATTTCAAATCAAATACAATAAAAATAAAGTCGACAATCAATTAGATCTATTTATCTACTTGCGTTTAAAAACAGATCCTTTGAGATTTTTTTTATTTTTTACATTTAAAGTTTTTTAACTAGAAATTTATAATTATATTTATAATTATATTTTTGATGAAGAGAAATGTTTTAACTGTATACAAATATTTTAATCGTGTTCTCCTTTTATTAGAATTTGCAAGATATTTATGGCGTGAATAAAATTCGATAAAATCGTGCGATGAAAGAACAGGCAATATTGTCAAGTGCGTGTGCATGTTCGATGCATATTCATGTAAATATCGAATATAGCGAGTTAAGTGCTCGTAACATCGTCAGGAACAAATGCTGTTTAAACGGTTAGCACGTCGTTCGACGTCAGTTTCTCGTTAAAATACGCATAAAATTTACAACAATGTGCTAAAGTTTTTATTAAATGTATCAGTAGATAAACTATAATAAAAAAGAATTACTGTGTTTGTAGATATTCAATAATAAGTTCAAAGAAGACTGTACTCTAAATATCACTGAACGCAATAAAAATTATTAAATAATCCTCGAGCGGAAAATACTATAAATATCGCGTAAACATTTTAAGAGACTATACAAGGAAAAGGTTGAAGATTGAAGAAGGGGAAGAAATAGGGAAAGATTTGGAGTTCAACTGAAGCCCCTCTTAAGACAAGATCCTATTAAAGATTGAGCCAGTCCCTTATAAAGAGATGTCTCTTTGACATAAAAACCACTAGTCTATCTTGCAGCTAAAATATGTAATTACTATCGCCAAATGATCTCCAATGTCAACTAGAAAATCCATAAGCACCTGAGAGAAATGATAATATCTTATAATAACTATCTTCTATCATATATAATATGATAGAAGAATGAATTCTATCATATATAATATAATGGAAATGCATGTGTATGTGTGAATTTCAAACTTATTAAATTACGTTATTAAGTTATTCTTATTTAAAAAAAAATGCAATTATAAATAATCTTAATTGATAGAATCAATCTGACAGAAACATTTTAAATTATAAATTATAAATTTTTCTTATTTTTTTATGCAATCGGTTATGTAATATCAGACGTGCATGAATAATTTTTCTTTAAACGGCAAAGTGTTTGAAAAGATATAAAAGAATTTCCGAAGCTTCTATTGTGAGAGCTTGTGTATCTCTCGTAAGCTATGTACACCAGCTGTGTAAACGGTGTGATTACCGTTGACCTAAGCAATCAGAAAACAGCATTAGTAGATTTTATCAGACACTAAAGCCACAGCGGGCGGATGTGTTCTACTGTTGGTGAACGCTGTTCCGCCGACCGAAAGAAACTATTCTAATAATTTTCAGGATCTGATTTTAATCAGCGGATACAAATACGGAGAATCGCCGATATCGATTCTTTCAGGAAATAGCTTCAGATCCATATGGTTAGAGATTCTCACTTATTTACGAGCCGGAAATAAGTGAATACATATATCGGCATTTCGTGGCAAAGATGTTGCAAATGTCCGCAATCGTAAATTTATATTGCTATTTTTAAATCAGATTTTAATATCAAATCCGTTCTATAAGTTTTGTATATAATCATATTAGCTCTAGTAATGCTTAAAAACATTAAAAAACTTATATAAATCTTTTCAAAATATTCTGTTCTTATTTTTCATTTTTCTAAAATATTTTATTTACTTTCTCCACAAATAACATAATACATTCTCGATAATTTTGACACTTTTACAGTTTTTAAGTAAAATAAATATTTTATAAATGATGATTTATTGATAGATATTTTATAAATAAATTTTCTTAATTCTCCTAAAAGGCAGATAATATTTATATTAGATATTACATATTAACAACATTTTTTAACGTGTGAATTAGTCCTAGTCCTAGTCCACCATGTTAATTTATAAATTGATCTCGTTAAAATTATAGACTTCTACCCGCGTTATTTCAATGTTTATACAATGGAAATCAGAATAATTAAAACAACAAAAACTCGCGATCAATTTTTCGCGAGAAATCGGTACGAGGTGACGATTCTAATAGTGTAAACGTGTTCGTTTAGTCGCATGAACTACGTTATCATAACAATTATATGGTACGTTAATTATATAGTCTCTCTTTTCTTGGGGTCATTGTACTCACAAATCGATCTTCACTAAGAAACAGAATAAGAATAGGCGACGTACGGTCAATTCTCTCGGACAAATAATGGGTATCCTTCATTCTTCAGAATATTTAACATTTAGATATTTGTGTCTGCGATTTCTGACCATTTTTAATGAAGCGACAGACATATGTATACACAAATCGATACATATATCGATTTGCGCGATACGTGGAAAAATAGATGCGAGAAATCACGGATGACTCGGCCGGATCGATCTCGCTCGACGGGGTGGAAACCCGAAGGATAGCTATCCTGGGAGGCGACGTGTTAAATCCGGAGATAGCTACAGTTTCCAAGGGTTGAAAGAGACGATCGTTCAATTTCTGACAGCGGTGAGCACGACAGAATGGCCCGACATTTAAAATGTTTGCATTTTGTGGTAAAAATGATTTCTATATTTTTTCCTCTCGGAAAAAGATATTTTTTCCAAGAGGAAAAAATATAGAAATCAAATACAATCAAATTCAAATCAAAATATATAAAAATTAAATATAAAAATATGTAAAGTATATTTTTAAATAGGCAACTTTTTATGCGTATTATGAAAATAACAATAGATATAAAAACTTCAAATTTAAATGTAAAATATACTCTAACTATAAACTATAAAATAGTCATATATGTACACTGAGAAAAATATTTGATTGAAAATCAGGACAAATCAGAAGATTCTGATTGTAATGCATTGAAGTGTGTGTGTGTGTGTGTGTGTGTGTGTGTGTGTGTGTGTGTGTGTGTGTGTGTGTGTATTAATTTTACTTTGCTTTACTTTATACAAGATATTTATATAAACTTACATGTATAAAATTTCTGAAAATTCTAGGAAGATACGCGTTACTCATGAGGGGTAGATGTATCGGGTGGAT